CTTGCTGCTGGGGTCTCTGTTGGCTTAACGCCCTGAAGCAGTGCTGTGCTAACACGTCCCGCCTCTTCTCGGGCCGTGTGGTGGATTTCTTGCTTCCCGTCCTTAGCGCTGACCCCGCAGCTCCGGTCTTTGTTGCCCCTCTCCACCGCTCTCGTGCTATGCCGTGGCTTCGGTCTTTGCTCGACGAACACTGGAGGGCTAACACTGATGCCGCTCCGCCCTCCGAACATGCCCTGTATGGCGTGCACAGTTGCAAGGCCACTGTCCTGTCGTGGGCCCGGCAGCTTAATTTGGATCCCGAACTCCGCAGGTTGCAAGGTCACCACCGCCCCAGCACTGTCGAAGGATCCGTCCGCATTTATAGCCGCGACGACGTGGGGCCCATGTTGTCTCTGCAAGCCGAGGTTGTTAATCGAATTCGGTCCGGGTATAGGCCACTGCAGCCGGTTGCCAGAGGTTCCGCGAACCCCCTTCCGGATTTTCCTGTGACCTTGCCCCCCCCGGACGGACACTTGTCTCCTGGTCCCGCTTCAGACTACACGGCCAGGTCACGCACTCCTCCTCCCAGCCCGGCTGCCTCACATAATGATTCCACCGACACAGATCTCTCTGATGATAGCTCGGATTCTGAGGATTCGGTGGTGTCTGCCTCGGACGCTGAAGAACCCGCCCTGTAGCTAAGCCCCGCCCTTTGCCCCTCAATGGGTTCTTGCATAACCCCCGCAGCAACATCTTGCACCGCCCGCTTCCATGTGAAGCTCATGCCGCTAAGTCCGTCTGTGTCCAGCTCTCCGGTCTGGAGCCCTTTTGGGTGAAGCCGGCGTGTGGCGCTTCCGTGGGGCAACTCACCTCCGACGCCTGGTGCCCTGCCGCCCCTGCTGGGGTGCAAACGTGCCTCAGACGTGCCTGTCGCCCCGCGTGAGACTGCACTCTGGGGGGCAAAATGTGCGGACCGTTGGTTGACCTATGCGTGGCACCATCTGCTTGCACTTGCCTTGCTTGTCTTCTCCGCAGCCATTTTCTTGCTTTCGCCCCGCCCTTTGTTTGTGCTCATTGCGACCCATCATGGCTGATCGTGCCTCGCGCAATTCCGCCTCGGCCGAGGGCTCCGCGCGTGGATCCGACGGTTATCCTGGATTCCCGCCCCGCCCGGCTGCCGATGCGACTGGCGCGCTGCTGCTTCCGGCCGCTTTGGACCTTCGGGATTTGGAAGATCTCACTGATGCCGAACTCACCACGATCCTCCGCCGTTGTTCTGTTGCCTTTCTCACCCGCCTCGCCCGACTTTGCGTCCGCATCGTCCGTGCCGAGCCGGAGGTGATCTACTGCCAGGAGCCCTGCAACAATCCCGACTGCAATCAAGCTTGTGGTCGCCGCATTGACCCTATACCCGCAGGCGGGGTCACGCCAGCCATGCGTGCCGCATCTGCCACCGCTTTGGCTGGTGAGCCCGGCCCGTCTCCGACCTCGCCGTTGCTCCGGCCCGGTCCTTTCCGGCCTGCTGTGGACGCATGGTACTGCTGTCTCGGACAAAAAGGATCCGATCGCGTGTGCCGTTGGCTTGCGTGTTCTCGCCCTTTCTTGCTCCGATTGCTCTGCCGCAGCCATTTATTGCTCCAGGCCCACTTTGTAGACTGTCTCTGGATTCTTTGGACTTCTGCAGAAATGTCATCCGCCCCGCCTGCTTTTGATGATCCGCTGGCCTTGTCCGCCCTGCTTGCCAAATGGACCGCTCCGGATACTCTTCATCCGCTGCTGGTCGCGAAAGGGTTCCGCACCATTGCTTCCATTGCCTATGCCATTCCGGGCGATGGCAGCCCGGATGACTTTCTGCGCGTGCTGTGGCCGCCCTCCGACCCGGATAACCCTCCAACCTTGGTGACACCCGAGGCGTCATTTGCCCGTCGTCTTCTCGTCCAGTCCCGTGCCTTGGTGCATCCGCCGGCGTCGTCGGCTGGCCCTGCCGCTGCTGCCATCCCGTCCGCGCCCCCGCCCAAGATCACTGCCGAGAATGCCGAAACACTCCGTGCCAAGTTCATTGACTCGTATCCTGGAGAATTGCTGTCTCCTGCCTCCACACCGTCCGTTGAGTTTTTGAACCGTCTCAGGGCCGAACTGGACAAGCCTACCACCCTTTGGGTGCCGTGGCGCCTTCGCACTTCTGAGCATGATCTGCAGATGTTTTACGAGAACCGGCGGCCCCGCTCCGACGGCCAGCTCCTTCGGCACTTGCTTGATGGTGTTCCCGAACCGGTTACTGCTCAGGCCCCTGCACACACGTCTGGTCCTGTGGAACCGGCCTTGAGGCGACACCTCGGTCTCCTCATCACGGCCCTGGCCTTCTTGGGCGATCTTCACCTCAAGCTCGGCAAAGCATACGCCGAAAGCTTCATTGCCGCCGCCACGGCCACTCCGTTGGATTCGTCGCTCCGCCCCCCTTCCATGCAGGAGGTTCTCGCCGCTGACAAGGCTGTCTGGGGTGCCATAGCTGGTTTGATGAGGGACGAGAAATTCTCGCTGGCGGACGCATTGCAGGAGATCACCGTCACTCGGCACATGATCCTGACGGTTCTCTGCCCCCGGCCCAGGTCAATGCCTGCTCCGCCGGTCCGCGACTCCAACCCTCGGAGTGGAGCCAATGCGGCAAGCGACCGCGCCGATATCCTGACCGCCCCCCTAAGAAACCGCGCAAGGACCCTCCGAACCCTAAGGGTAAGACTAACCCTAAAGCCCCAGCCGGTGGCCGCCGGCCCGTATCCGAACTGTGGGATGAGTCGTGGCACTCCGTTGATGCCAAAGGAAAAGAAATATGCCGGCGGTTCGTGCTTGGCCGGTGCAAGCTGTCCTAGTGCCGGTTCGCCCATTCGTGCCCTATTCCGCTTCCGACCGGGAAAGTGGGCAACATCATACCGCTTCGAAGCATAAGTCGATGGCCCACTGAGACTCTCCGCAAGCGACGATGCTGGCAGCTCCCGCCCCGCCCCCCGTGGATAGCACCGTTGTTGCGCATACGGTTGATGAAGCCTCAGTTGTGGACTCATCAAGTTCCGATGGCTCCGTTGTTGAGGTTGAGACCGCCGCGCTTCAACCGAGTTGCCGCAAACCTGGTTCGCAACGATCCCGCTCACCAATACGGCCTAAGCTGGGCTACTCTTTCTCTTACGTCCGGCCTTGCATTCCCTTGGGACGTAAGCTTGGCAGCGCTCCCCACCCGTGTGCTGGGCGTGAGGCGGGCACCGCTCCACCCGCTTCCGCCCCCAATGCCATCCCCGCAAGCCCAAAACCAGCCGCTCCTCAGCCGGCCCTGTTCCTCGATTTGTTTTGAGGTGCAGCCGCCCCACTCAGCATGGCACTCAGTGAACTAGGCTGTGACCGTATCGCCCCAGTGGATGCTTTGTTCGGTGAACAGATCGACGTTCTGGATCCAGTTCATCAGGAATCCCTCAAGCGTCTCTGCTGCTCCGGCCTGATTCGCGTGCTGTGCGCCGGCCCTCCTTGCTCTAGCTTTAGTCGTGCTCGCTTGCGTCCCGGGGGACCAGCGCCGGTCCGTACCCCTAAGTACCCCCAGGGCATTCCTAAACCCAGCCCTAAACAGCAATCCGAACTTCAGATTTCGGATCAGCTCCACACCTTTACGCGTGAGCTGCTCTCCCTCGTCCTCATTAACGGGGGCATTGCTATCTTGGAAAATCCGTCCACGAGCCTGCTCTGGCATCATCCGGGCTGCGCGTCTTGGATTCGCCATCACTGCCTTTCCGCTGTGGAGGTTTCCGCCTGCAATCACGGCCTCGATGTCTTCAAGTCATGGACTTTTGTTTCTAACCTATCCGACCTGTCCGCCCTGGCGTCCTCCTGCCAACATCCGAAAGGCGCCCATGCTGCTATTTCCGGCCTCCGTGATTCTTCCGGCCAGTTTCTTACACGGCACACTGCGTGTTACCCTGCATCTCTGTGTTCACGCCTGGCCTCCATCCTTGCCCCCCTCCTTTCGCAAAACGTGGGGGTGGTTCCGTTCCTGGACTGGGAGAAACGTCTCCTTGCACCAAAGCTGCACTGGCCGATCCCGGCCTCTCGTGTCGAAGACGGTGCAGGGTCCTGCTCTACCGGATCCTGGTCCGTGCCCCAGGGGGAGGATTCCTTTAAGAAGCTGCGTCAGGCCTGGATGCAACGAATTACCCGTCCGGACTTCCTTGGGAAATTCCGTGCAAACCTGGCGTCCGGCTCCAAAGACCCTCCGTTGTCTGATGTGGACTTACGTCCCTTCCTTGAGGACCTGCGATCTTTCTTGAGGTTATCCGAGAAGGAGTTCGAAACCCTGATGTGCGTTCCTCCTGGCGAACCCTTCCGCCTCTTCTTGCTCGAAGCCCTGCTGGAGGTTTCCAGGGACCCGGACATTTCATTCATTGACCTTTTGGTTGAGGGTGTTCCGCTTGGGGTTGATGAAGCAATGCCCTCTTGTCCCGCACTTTTTCCGCCCTCCGCGCCTGTGTCTCCGAAGGTCCCTCTTCAGCACTGAGAGTCCGCTTGGGGTTCCGCTCTTTCTGATCCTCAAACCGTGGATTCTCTCCTGGATTCGGAGATTCGTGAGGGTTGGGTCCAGCCGGTCCCTGGTGGGTTAGCTGCTCTTAAAGCTAACTATTCTCGTTCTGCCGTTGGCAAGCTGGGTCTTGTAAAGGCTCCTGATCGTGACCCCCGCTTGGTGGTCGACAGCAGCGTTTCCGGGGTCACCGACCACACTTCCCTTCCCAACAAATCCGCCAACCCTACCATTTCCGGTCTGCGGCGTTGTGCTCCGGCCCGGCCCGCTCTGGAGGCGTTGTTTGCTCTCATTTTAGATGTTAGTAAGGCACACCGCCGTATCCTTATCCGTCCGTCCGACCGTGGCCTCCTTTGTTTCTTTCACCGTGAGGTTCTTTATCAATGCCTCACTCTGAACTTCGGTGCTCGCGCTTCTGGTTTTTACTGGGCCCGCATGGCGGGCCTCCTGTCCCGCCTTCTGCACCGGCTGATATACGTCCGCCACGCGCTTCTCATATACGTGGATGACCTTATTTCCCTCTTGTCTGGGCCTTCCGCTCAGGATTGGGCGGCGCTGATGTGCATCCTCCTTTTGATCCTCCGGGTTCCAATGAGCTGGCATAAGGCTTACCTGGGCACTAGACCCACTTGGATAGGCTGGTGCATTTCCCTCAACAGTTTCACTGCTGCCATGGAGCCTTCAAAGCAGGCCCGCCTGCGCTCCCTGCTCCGTTCCGCGTTGGACTTGGACTCACTGCCGCTAGCGCTGCTCCGCAAGCTCACTGGCAAATTGTTGTGGGTGTGCTCTTTGTTCCGTGCATTCCGGCCTTCGCTGGCCCCTCTTTACAAGGACCAGAGCCTCCCGCCGCTGGTGCACGTTGCACTTGGCCCGGAAAAGTGGTCAGCTTTCCGGTCCAATCTATCCGGTAATCTGGTGCTCTTGCGCGAGATTGGCACAGCTAGCTGCCCGAAGGGGTGCACCTTGTTGTCCGTTTCTCAGAAAGAGGTTTCTGGCCTTTCACAAGTTCCTCTTCACTTTCCAGGGGAACGTCGCATCTGGATTTCCGTTCGCATGCCTGCCGACTCGGCCCGTAAGCTTTCACCGGAATCCAAAGAAGCTTTACGTCTCTGGGAGTCGTGTCTCCTGGGCGACTCTCCTTCTTTTCCGCTGGCCCTGGATCCTTTCTTTGCCTGCGAAGCCTTTGCGGATGCTTGCGCCGACTCGCGTCAGGTGGGGCTTGGGGGCTTTGTCCGACTGCCCAACTCTCGCACCGTCTGGTTCCGCGCTTGCTTTTCCGTTGCAGACCTTCAAGACATGTTCCCGTGGTTCCCGCCGCAAACTTCTCCTCAGAAATTTATTGCTGCCTGGGAGCTTCTTGGCCAGATTGCCCTGCTTTGGTGCGTGGCCCTCTTGATTCCGGCCGCCCACCATCCGATCCACTTCAACAGTCGCTGCGATAACAGCCCCTCCGACTCGGCCGCTTGGAAAGGTATATCTATGGCGCGCGGCATGTGTTCCCTGCTCCTTTCCTACTTTTTGTGGCAGCGTCACTTCTGCGTGTCAACTTTTATTGAGCATGTCCCTGGCTTCCGCAATGTCACTGCTGATGGACTTAGCCGCAGCAAGGATCCGTCCAGTTTTGGACTTCGTTCCAGCGACGAGGTTGCTATTCCCTGGCGGCTGATTTCCGTCCCCCCGCGTGGCACTTACTCTCCTGAGTCCGCATTCTCGGCCTCCAAATTTCCGGCGTTTCAGTTTTCTCCGCAGTTGCCCTGATGCACTTGGATTGGCTCTGGATTCTGTACTTTGGCTTCGTTTCCCCCGGTGCG